CAGACAGTTTCTCAGGTAGCCAGGTCCAATTTCATATGGGGCTTTGCAAATCAAGACAGATAATATTTTTAAACTTGACTTGGCCTGTGTACACCAGGTGCAAAGTCCTGTTTAAAATCATGTTAGTTCAAATATGATAGTGAATACATTTTAAAACACAACCACTTTTCCTTATCTAGATCTGACTTTAGAGTTCATGCTTCTTGGTCCATTTGATTTTTGGCTTTTCTAATGAGAAAGACAACATCTTGATCTTCTGCATAAATTAGTATTTAGACACTTCTTTAAAAGGAGATTTTGCCTGATAGACTCAGACCACCCAAAGAGCCATTACAGCCTGTTCTGTAAATCTTTATCAATTCACAGATTATTGACCCTTTTTTGCCTTGCTCAATCTGCTAAGTGTTATAAATCCATGTGCTAAAGTTCCTTAGGACACTGTCACTGGACAAGGTTAGCACAAGCAGGTGCAAAAGAATATGGTTCTAAATGAAAAGTAACTGTTTTTTCATTTTCCTTTCCCCCTATTCACTACATGGATTAATGACCTGAATATGTCTGACATACAAAGACATGTCTGAAATACAGCAGGTTAAGAATGTGTCTTTAGGTAGCAAACTTTCCAGTTAGACACCTTAAAACTAGCCCAGACTGACTTTTGGCATGCAACAAAGAGTGAAAACATAATGTGTTCCCTCACAGATATATTATATGCCAAATTTTAGCCCACAGCATATTTTTACAGCTGAGTTATAAGCCCTGGAAAAGACAAGACATAATGAGACATCAACAAACAAACAAATCAGACAAAAGCGTGGCCCACACAGACGGGAACATGCTGCTGTCATTTAGTGTATTTCCACATTAAAGCTAATGATGGAGAAGGAGGAGGATGAAGATTGGCTGGATCGGGGAACTACCTATACTTCATTTTCAATCTCTAAGCCACAGATTCAAATACAGCACAAGTCTGATAATATCAGAAAGTCATGACCTTCTATCAATTGTTTAGTTGCCCTAATGTGAGCAAGTTGATCTCCATCCTTTCCCTTATTGACGGTGTCCTCATCACTAAAGCCACCAGCACAATTTGCACAGCATGACTGGCAACCTAGGTCAAAAAACAGGAACATAATGTTATGTTCCCGAGTTCATCCCACCTACCTTTCAGCACTGCTCAATGGCCAGCAGCTGTCAATTATAGACAGGAGCTTAAATTTAGTCTCTGATTTTAGGAAGTCTTGGCCCTTGTTGACAATTTCAGTAGAGTAGCTAAGGACTGAACAAAGCCCTGGTACTGAATTCCCCTCTGCCCCATAATGTTGGTGGCCCCATCAATAAAGGTCTGAGGTCTCTTGGTGAGTGGTGTGGGGTAATCTTGCCATTCTGATACCCATTCTTTACTTTATTCCATGGCTAAACAGAAGACATCAGGTTTTGTCTGCCACATTTGATTAGCATTCAATTTTACCTAACACAACGAAACAGAAAACCCTCCAGATATTATGGATGTCCAGATTTTGAAAAGTAATTGACTAGAAAAAAATCAACTGGAAGGATATAAGGTTTATTTGGACCTTAAGTGAAAATTTGAAACAAGCACCACTGAACATACTACAGACGGGATCCATTTCATCCAAACTATAGAATCAAATAACATGTATTAAATTACTCACTTCTGTGAAATATAACCAATGGGCTGTCTCCTGAATGCAAACCTAATGGGACTGTTTGAAGCTATGTACATTTTTATTGGAAAAATATAAAAGAAAACATAATTTGGGCTGTGATTTAGTGAGAGTTCACTGATTATCTCTGTTAGATGTGAAGCCAGAGAGCATGAAACATGGAATAGACTGGTACTGCATTTTATTTTTCTTAACATGGGCCAAGCATAGTGGATTAGATGTTTCAGGGAATAGATTATAGAGCAGGGGTGGGCAAACTTTTTGGCACAAAGGCCACATCTGGGTATGGAAATTGTATGGCAGGCCATGAATGCTCACACAATTGGGGGTTGAGGTGCAGGAGGGGGGAGGGCTCCAGCTGTGAGTGCAGGCTCTGAGGAGGGACCAGAAATGAGAAGTTCAGGGTGCAGGAAGGGGCTCCGGACTGGGACCGAGAGATTCAGAGGGTGGGAGGGGGACCAGGGCTGGGGCAGGGGGGTTGGGGCACGGGGGAGGGAGGTTGCAGGCTCTGGGCGGTGCTTACCTCAAGCAGCTCCCAGAAGCAGCAGCATGTCTCCCTTTCTGGCTCCTATGTGGGGGCATGGCACTGGGTAGCTCTGCGTGCTGCCCCGTCCTCAGGCGCCACCCCCGCAGCTCCCATTAGCCGCGATTCCCGGCCAATGGGAGCTGTGGGTGTGGCTCTTGGGGTGGGGGCAGCATGCAGAGCCCCCTGGCTGCCCCTATGCATAGGAGTGGATGGGGGACATGCCACTGCTTCCGGGAGCTGCGCGGAGCTACAGCATGTGCAGAGTGGGCAAGCCCATGACCCTGCTCCCCGGCAGAAGCTCAAGGGCTGGATTAAAATGTCTGAAGGGCCGGATGCGACCCCTGGGCTATAGTTTGCCCACCCCTGCTATAGAGACTTTCATCTACTATGGTCAACTGTAGCCCAGGTTAGTGGTGACCAAAAGATGCAATCAAATGATGGCTGTTTGATAGATTGTGTGGAATGAGTTAGTGAATTTCCAGTCTACTTCCTAGTAGACAACTGTCCACATCAGAGAAATCACCTTCACACTTGGCACTAATTGATCCTATTTCAGGAGAGAGTTTAAAGGGTCAGTGGACCATGGAGATCAAACTCCCTCCAAGTCAGGGGTGAGACACTGGGGGCTGGCTCTGGAGTGGTGTGTGGGAGAAGTTCACAGTGCCATTCTCCAAGAAGTACCAGTGCAATGGGTAATAATAATAATACCTAGCCCTTTTATATAGGGCTTTTCATACAGAGGTCACAAAGCCTTTATGAAGGAGGTAAATGTTATTATCCCTGTTTTTACAGATGTGGAAACTGAGGCATGGAGTGTTCAAGTGATTTATCTAAAGGCATCCAGCAAGCCAGCAGCAGAGCTGTGAAAAGAACCCATGTCTCCTGTATACTAGCCCACACTGCCTCTCTAAAAGGGAAAATGGGAGACTTACATTTCTCTGTCAATCAGTCTAGCTTCTTTCACCAGTATGACATTGGGGGCAGGGGAAGGGAGAGAATTATACTAATTCCTGAAGTAAATATTGATGTCATTTGTTTTAATACAGACCCACAAATTAACCATTGCTCTTGTTATTTCAGTGAGTGGACAAGCTAATTTGTCTAGCTTTTCTCAAATCTCTCTCTCTCACACACACACACAAACACAGACTCAAATTCCTCCCTGATATAACTCCACTGAAGTCAATGGAATTATACGAGAATTAATCCTGACCCCTCCTCCCCAATCTCCCACTGCACAAACACAATAATGTGAACAGAGAAAAACAATTTATACCATATTTTAAATATGAAGTCAGTATTTTGCTAGTCACAAAATTGTGAGTATCAAAGTCTGGAAGAGCATGTTAATGAAAGCAGCAGGCATAACTTAGCCACTGTACCACTCCAGTGGGAAAAGCTGCTCACTTTCTCTTATACGTTTCATTAATAAACTGTAGCTTGTGGTGCTACCAGTATAGGAAGAATTAATGTCTTTCATGTTATTCATTCCCTTCAGTCAACGATCCTCCATTACATGAAAAGGTTTCAATGTATTTTTTCTGTTATTTTGATGTAAGCTGTTAAAATAAGAAGAAAACACTGATTGTTTAACAGTAGAAGCTAGGCTGGTATATTCCTTCTTTTAAGGCTCACTCTAGTTTAAAATCAATAAGCCAAGGAAATATTAAAAGTATTTTGTTTATTTGGGATCATGACAGGGAGATCATTAGGATGGGAGTGAAGGCTGGGTGAATGCTGCCCAGTTTTCCCCACATTTCTGCTGAAGTGCATCTCAGTCATGTCTCATTTCAGCTCCATTGTGCACAGGCCTGGCTTCCTCTGGCTTTTGTTATCCTAAATGTTTTTTTCTCTGATATGTTGAATCATGAAAGTGAGCTGAGAAAAAAACCGTTATTTATGCAACAAAACAAAAAAGCATTAAATAAAAAAATCTGACTGTCACTAACCCCCACAGTGTGTGTGGGGTGGTGGTGGGGGTAGTTCTTTGTCTCACAATGTGTATCTCCTTAGAAGCAGAGACACAGGAGTACACCCCAGTCCTGCCCTGCCATGCACTCCACTTAGATGTGAGTGATGGGCCTCCCTGGCAAAAGCAGAGCCTGCTAATGAGTCTGAATCACAGGATGGTTCTTATGAAAGGGATCAATCCTAGGACCAGTTTGCAGCCACCAACCTGTATTTTCTTTCTCCTGTGACCAGTTCAGAATTTGAATCTTGGTCTCCAGAGGTTCAAAGCACTAAGTCAGGGAGCCTCTTTGTGTCCCTTTCAAAAGGCAGACATTTATTTGACAAGTTGTGAGTGTTTGTCAATGTCTTGTGTGTGGGTGTTTGTGTGTGTGTGTGCACGTATTTTGGAGAGAGAGAGCGTGCATGTGCATTGTGTGTGTGTGGGGGGGAAGAGTGTGCTAGTTACTCAGTACTTATGGACGTGGAGTAATTAAAGCTCTGTGCACAGGTTCTCTGGGACCCGTTTAGCATACAGCACAGTGCACTTTACCCCCCTCCCTTCAATGCTCACTAGTTGACTAGGGTGCCAGAGGTCCTGGATCTGGGTAAAAAAGAGAAGGCTGCCAGCCGAGAGAGAGAACCCCTCCCAAACTTTCCAGCCTTCACAAATCTGTTCCTCGGGGCTGCTGCTCTTCCAAGGAGTGGCTCGTCGGCAGCAGGCGAGACGTTTCCATCCTCCCCCCTTCTGAGGCACCTGCTGGAGCAGCAGTTTCCAGCCGGCCGGGCTGCAGCGGGCAGGACCTGCTCTGGGCTCTGGGTAAGTGAGCTCAGATTCCTCTTCCTTCCCGTCTCCTGCCCCACTGCCAGCAGCTCCACGGTGCTACAACTGGTGGAAGTGATGGGCTTTCAGAGAGCCCAGGCTCCAGGGCGCACAGGGACACCTTCCCACTACGTACGGGGTGCTGGTAGAGTGGGAGGGATCCCAGGTGCCGGGGCCCGGCGGCACACAAGACTCTGGTGCTGCAGGGACAGCTGCCTCCAGTGCCACTGCTCCCAGGAGGGCTCCTGCCGGAGGCACTGAAGGGACAGCTCCCTATTTCTCCCGAGGCTCCTGCCTATTAAGCACAGGGCGGTTCCTGCTGGGGGTGCTGAAGGGACAGCGCCCCATTGAGCCGCCTGCGGCTGTTGGGAGAGGGCTGCTAAGGGAGAAGCTCCCCGAGCCTCTGCTGTTCACACCGCCGCTGCTGCTAAGCCAGCGGCTGGCCTCGAAGGGACACCAGCTTCTTCCCAGCTCCCTTGGACTCCGGCCACAGCAGCTCCGGGCAGCCAGGTAACAAGAGCACCAACTATGCACTCCTAAAAACCAGCGAGCAAGGGGATTTCAAGGTTATTCCGTGTGCCAGCCAGACAGCAAGCCAGACGAGCTCGGAGAGGGGGGTGAGCCGATCTGGAGACTGCCCAGCGGTGCCGCCAGAACCAGGATGGGGCTGCCAGTGTTGGCACCAAAGAAAGTTCCCAGTGGCTACTAAATCTTTAAAGTTTAAGGGACAAATGTGCTTCCGATGTAAGTTCCAGGCTGAAGTTTCCTTACAATGGTGGATAAGGTCCAGCCAGGGAGTGTAAAAAGCAGGCAGCGCTGGACCAGGCGGCTCCCTGCTTCATTTATTTGTCATAGGTCCTTGTACCCTTGTACATTTTAAATGTGTCTGGCACGGATGGAAAAAGAAAGAGCTAAACGTAGTCATCGGTGCGTTGGGGGAGCTGACATGGACCTGCCGAGATGGCTGCTGTTTTGTACCTTTGGTTTTTAGGGGATTTTGTTTGCTAGTTGGTGTAATCATGTGCATTGACTATACAATAACGACAGCCAGACACACACGCACAGCGCTCTGTTGCTGTTACAGAGTTCCTCGCACAACGCCGAAGGTTGCAGCTGGGGCAGCACTTAGCAGTTGTTTTGTGCATTTCCTAATTTTGCGCATGTAGGGACAACAGTCATTGAGGTAATCTGCAGATCTGTGGCTTCAACGGATAAATTAGAGTTTTGGATTTGATCCGTATTGCAGGGGATTAGAGCAACCACCCTTTCTCTCTTCCCTTCTTCCCCCACCTTCCTTCGGACATGCAACACAAAAATTGACCCTGCCTGTAACAGGAACTCCTGTAGCAGAGAAAAGGGGAGCCGCGGAGCGAGCTTGGTGCTGATGCAGCCGGCAGACAGAGGCTCCAGACACCGCAGCCTCTGGAATCTCAGTGGCAATGCCGCCTGCAAGCTCCCTGAAGCCAGGCACGGGGGCTGTGACAGTAACAGCTCGGAAATGAGGAGCGATCGTTCCCCAAGGAGCTTGTCTCTGTCACACGCCACTGAACTGGTGGGGGTTTCATTGCAGGGGGTGAGTGTGGCAGACGGGAGGGAGGGATGGGGGAGAGCAGCAGAGAGGGCATTGCCAGGAGCAAACAGGGGAGCCGGGGGGATGGGGAACCTGGAAGGAAATGGACGCATCAAGTATCCGTCCGAGGCGGTGATGTTTGTTCTCTTCTTGCTCTCCCTGCAGGAATGTAATCCACAATGCTAGTTCTCAGGGTGCTCAATGTTGTTGCTCCAGCCTACTTCCTGTGCATCTCCTTAGTGACCTTCGTCCTCCAGCTCTTTCTCTTCATCCCCAGCATGTTCAAAGACCCTTCCACCACCCCACTTTTCTCTCCTGCTCTGCTGCATGGGGCCCTCTTCCTCTTCCTCTCAGCTAATGCCCTGGGGAACTACATCCTTGTGATACAGAACTCCCCTGAGGACCTTGGCAAGTGCCTGAACTCGGGCGGAGGAGCCGAAGTGGTGGCGGACCGGCCGGACAGAAGCAGGTCCCCTTGCTCAGCCTTGCCCAGCACCCACTTCTGTAGACTGTGTGCCAGAGTCACCCAAAGGCATGACCACCACTGTTTCTTCACAGGGAACTGCATCGGGAGCAGGAACATGCGGAACTTCGTCATGTTCTGCCTCTACACCTCCTTGGCTTGTCTCGACTCCCTGGTGGCAGGGGTGGCTTACATTTCTGCAGTGCTCTCTATGTCCTTTGCAAACCCACTGGCCTTCCTCGCCCTCCTGCCTCACTCCATCAGCCAGTTCTTCTCAGGTAAGCGGCCTCTCTCCCAGAGAAAGAACATGGTCTCCCTTTGCCCAAATGCGTCACTTGAGTCCTGCTCTTTCCCAGGCAACTTTGTGAGGGGCGGAGGGCGGGGAAAGGGAAGGGAGGGGTTCCTGTGCTCACGGATCTCTTCATTGAGGCTTGGTGTACGTTTCCTGCAGGACTTTAGCACTGTGATCAAAGGCCCTATTGAAATCGAGGCTGGCTGGGGCCCAGCCAGGTTCCAGACACAGCCCTCTTCATAATTTATTAGGTTCTAAAAAAACCCAAACCCAGCGCCAAAGACAAAGCGTCAGGGAGCAGGGCTGGTGGGCACAGAGAGAGTCCAGTGCAACTAGGCAGCAGGAGAAAGAATTCCACTCATTATCCTAAAGCAGAGGGGTGCCTCTGTGGGTGGCTGGGGCTGGTTCTCAAGTTCTTCAGAGGGGGGAACCATATCCTAATAGAAATTGACTGGGGGACACTTCCCCTTCCATTTGCCATCACCTGGTCACACCTCCACTCCCATTAGACACACACCCAGCCCCACCGCCTTTCCCATTCACCACCATCCAGCCCCACCTTCTCTTCAATTTGCCATCACCTTGCCCCATCTCCCCATCATAAAACACACACCAGCCCCACCTCCTTTCCCATTAGACATCACCCAGCCCAGTCACCCCTCTCATTAGACACAAGCCCAGACCCACTTCCTTTCCCCTCCCAATAAACACACCTCGCCCCACATCCCTTCCCTGTGGCAAGTACAGCAGCTGCTCGCATGGAAAATCAGTGTTAGAAAATTATGTTAGCTTCTTTCAATGCTATCTAGCAGGTGGAAACAAAGAAGAGAATTAGTATGATGTGACCAACCAGCTCTCCACAGACCTCCAGATAGTTCTTTGCAGACCACAGTTTGAGAGCCACCATTGATCTCTGAAAGCGCCCCACGCCAAAAGCAAATGTATTCAGAGGAATAATCTCTTGCTGCTGACTCTGCCTTTTTATGCCTTTCAAGGTGCCCTTTCCCCATCCACATCTTTTCCTGCTCCTCATCAATTCTCCCCCTATTCCTCTAACTTCTTTTCCTGATCCTTCTCCCACAAATCTGCCTCAGCACCTCTAGTTCTGTCCCTCCTCATCTCACCATGCCCCTGAGCCTCTCCAAATGCACCAAGTCTAAATTTGAAACAAAACCCTAGAATGAAGGGCATTTGAAAAGTCGCTACACAGAAAGCTTATAGACTAGTGGTACTCTGAAAGTGACTAAGTAAAAATGTTATTCTTTTAACCATCAGACCTGCAGCCTGTGTGTATCAGAATCAGATCTCCTCACTTTACTGACTAAAACAGGACTGCTGCTCTGACCCCTGCAGAGCCACTCAGCTCAGGGAGAGGATCAGGATTGTATTCTGGGGTCATGAATCAACAGGACTGTTACTATGTTTTGATACAGAATTTTGCTAATGATACATGAGCCAGAAGGAACCCAGCTTGATTTTCAGATTCCAGGCTGAGAAGGCTGGCATTTAAAAACAAACAAGCAGAAATTTACTTAGAAAAGTATCCAATTTTGGCATGGTAGTCACTGAAAGACAATAGACATGGAACCCTGCCATGAGATTTTGATGGAGTCACTTTTCCAAGTAGAACCACATTTTAAATAACATTGGATAAACTTCTTCAGAATGAATAACGCCAGACTTGATGCTCTCCTCTTCTAAGCTATGCTTGACACAGCAAAATGGAGTGGGGGAAAGAGGTGAGGAGGCTACCAGGGTGTTGGTTATGACTCTTTGATTCTGTGGGCTGATCTGCATCAACCCTGGCATATGTTAGAGCAAAACCCTAAGCTTCACTAATTTATGCCACTAGTGTATGGACCCTAAGGGACCATGTATTAACTGAGGATCAGTGCAGCAGAGCAGAACTCCATCACACTCCAACACATCCTTTTCCTCCTCTGACATGCTCTCTATGCTGGCAGCAAGTGACCACTGGAATAGGAGATGGATCTGTTAGTTTTATGCCAGCTGGATTAATTCTCAGCTGGCTAGTTGTGGCCAGGAGGCACAAAAGAGCCAGAATGTATATCAGAATTTGTTCCAGTATCTATAAATTCAGCATAACGATTCAGCATTTCTGGCATAAATAATATGCAGCAATAAGAGTGAGATCACATCAGGTTCACAAGGAACAGAAGTAAATTTGGGTTTAAAATGGTCTCTGGTAATGATGGGCAAATGAGGGGTATTTTTGTAAATGTCTGTCAGATTGGATCTACTGACAAAACTATAGACTACTGTTTATTTGGATAACCTAAGAATAAGATGAATAAACCTTATGTTCATTTCACTCTTGTGCTTCCAATAAATGCTGAGAAGCCCATGCTTGTATCTGACCTTCCTATTCAATATTTCAAGTTACCCTCACTAACCGAATTAGTATGAGGATTCTTCACTTCCTTAAGGGGATCTATTCTCCCCTTGCCATGTTGTGCATGATGTCTACTGGGATCTGACAATAAAAGAAAGGTGATATTGAATTTAAAAAGCAATGTTTAATGGTTCAAGTGTTCAGGACTGAAAAGCCAGATGCTGTAATCTGTTTGAAAAAAAACATTGTGTGAATGTTCTCGCCTAGCCAAGTCCAAAACTTGAAGTGAAGTCAAAGTGTAATTTTGTGGCAGCCAACAGCTAGACTATTAATTACAGCATTTCAAGATGGAGAAGCTGGAATTCATAGATTTTAAGGCCAGAAGGGACTATTAGATCATCTACTCTGAACTCCTGTATCACACAATTCCAATAACTGGAGGAGCCATGAGCTACTTACAGCCAGCCACCCAGCCCTGTTCTGGTGACTCCTGGTGAGAGAGGATGAGGCAGGACTGGCTGTAAGACTAGCCAGCACTCCTGCATGGTTCCCTGTGGTGACTTCTGCTGAGAGAGGCTTGGATTAGAATAACTTGAGTTGTCCCCCCTGCACCATTCCTACATTCTTCTCTTCAGGAGGGAAAGGTAACATTAGAGAAGTTCTTTTAAAAGACCTGTAAGGAATTAGTTATGATAGATTTCATAGTTATATAATACTAAAATATTGGCAGATCCTGAGCGGGTGCAAATTGGCCTATATACTGATATCATACTATATATATAGATAGATATATAGGGCCAGAATTATAGCTGCTGTAAATTTTCACAGCTCCATTGACTTCAATGGAATTAGGCCAATTTGCACCCGCTGAGGATCTGCCCATATTTTTTAGTACTTATATGTGTATAAAATTATATATAACTTTTTCAAAACAATGATTAGAAGTACCTCTCAGATTCAGTGTTTCCATAAGTCTTTTAGCGTGCTGTAGCCATGTACACAAGAGATGCTACTGTGCTGCAAGCTAGTGCATTGTAGATTCAGACCCTGCTTTGCTGTGCAAAAACATCCCGTGTAGAAAAGTCCTATGTCATTTAGGCACTTTTGAAAATGTTACTAACAATGATTAAAATACATTTTATATTTTGTGGAATTTTCACAAAAATTCCTTTAAGCCCTGATCCTACATATTAACAGTATAAACACTAGTCTACTCTAACCTCTACCATTTTAATATTTTCCCCAACAGTATTAGTTGCATTGATTATCATGAATGAAATACTTCAGTTAGAATAATTAGAATGATTAATTCTCTTTTTCCTTCTAGCTCTCCAGTTGTATAATTGTTACAGAATATAATTCAGTTTCCAGGACTCTTCAGGTTGAATATTTCTGGAGGGCTAATATACTAATATGTGGGGTGTGTATAAAATGCTGTTTCTTTTTTCTCTTCCCCCTCTCCTGGCTCTGGAACTGCAGGAGCTCTCCTTAGCTCTGAAATGTTTGTCATTCTCATGCTGTACCTCTGGCTTGGAATTGGACTTGCCTGTGCTGGCTTCTGTTCCCACCAGATACTGTTGATCTTACGAGGGCAAACTCGCTACCAGGTGCGGAAGGGGATGGTGGTAAGAGCCCGGCCCTGGAGGAAGAACCTGCAGGATGTCTTTGGGAAGAGGTGGCTAATAGGACTTCTCATTCCTATACTAAATGTGGGAAGTGACTATCACAGGCATAAAGACAAGTAACTCTCCACAACACATACACACTGATATACCCCTACTTTCTCATACTCTGCTGCAACATGGCAAAGTTGGGATATTCCATCTCTCAGTACTGCAGACTCTGGGGGGAAGGGATTGGCTAGCAAACTGAACAGAAATAAGGGATTGTCTTTCTGTTCTGTGCTTGTACAGTGCCTAGCACAATGGGGTCCACATCCATGACTAGGGCTCCTAGCCGCTATGTTAATACAAATAATAAATATTAATAAGGAGATCACAAACCATGTAGATGAAGAGATACTGCCGCTTTGTAGACACATCACTGCACCTGTGTACATGGCAACAGTCTCTGTACTATTAGAAAAATAATATTCAAATCCTCCTTTAGGCTCCTTTCTCACTCTTTTATCTCCCCCCTCTCTCTTGCTCTCTCTCTCTCTTATCTAACCTATGCCTTCTCCCACAACTGGCAGCAGGATCCTTCTCCATTTAGCTGATAGTCCATGCTATAATGACTAGATTGTAAGCAAAGTATATGTTCCTGTGGGGGGTTTCCAAGTTGGAGCTTTATGAAGCAAAGTGACCTGAAACAGAAAGAAGCATTTAACAATAAAACTTTAGTGCAGCCAAACCCTCTAGGAAGAGGCTGCTAGGAAGGCAGAGAGAGTCTAGTCTTGATAGACTAGAAATTAGGGATGGAAAGGACTTATTAGGTCTCTTGATCTCCAATTATTCTTGATCTCTTCCCTTCGTAGGTGTATGAAGGGATAGCAGCTAATAGACTGACCATGAGGCCTATCAGGATTGCAACTCTATTGGCTGCTTCTCAGAGTATTTCTTCTTCAACTCCCCACCCCCAACCCTTGCCTTATGACACAGTCCATGGCACAATTGTCTATCCCGCTTCAAGGATCAGCAAGCGGATCTAATAATGGACCTTGGATCAAATAAGGCAGAGATACAAGGAAAGAAAACTGTGAGCATGAATGGAAAAGATGCATTTGAGAGTTGGGCTGTGTGTGAGTGATTGTGTGACAGAGATAGGCTGGGGTGACTTGCGTGAGTGAGTGACAGAAAGTGCATGCATACAGACTGGGCTGGCAGGAGAGTGTAAGTGGCAGCATTTAAATGTACATCCTGATGTAGCACACAGTCAAAGATGGTCCGTCCATGTTGAGTGGTGTTCAGAGTTCAGACCTCACTAGAAGACAGTGGGGTTCTCCAAAGACCGTGACACTTTGCTATCATTTTGTAGTAGTATTAAAAATTAACAAAATTATTACCTCAAACATTCCTGCCATACCTTTACCATAGGCTCTTCAGAGGTTCTCAAACTGGGGGGGGCGTGGAATGTGTTCTGGGGGGGCATGAGAAGCTTTAGGGAAAAAATTACTGCGCATATTCAGAGCTGGTTGGCCAGAGAGTGGTGGCCATACCCAGGGCCGCCAAGAGCAGGTTCGGGCCCCGGTGAAAAATTTTTTTTGGGCCCCCCAGCAAGGGCAGACCGGCTAAACAGGGCCAACGAGAGGGGGGGAAGCTGGGGAAGCTGGGCCCGGAATTTTTTCGGGCCCCTTACCAAGTGCAGACCAGCTAAACAGGGCCGACAAGAGGGAGGGGGGAAGCCGGCCCCCGGACCCCCTTCCGGAATGCCAGGCCCCAGGAATTTGTACCGGCTTCCCCCACCCCCTTGTCAGCCCTGGCCATACCATATCATGCCATCCTTACTTCTGCGCTACTGCTGGCAGCAGTGCTGTCTTCAGCGCTGGCTGCCTGGCCAGCAGCTGCCACTCTCCACTCTGCCTTCAGAGCTGGAAAGTCAAAGAGCGGCAGCTGCTGGCCAGGTGCTGGTGGGGGGAGGTCAAGTAAATTACAACAGACACAAAGAAGGGGGGTGCGATCAAGTTTGAGAACAAATGCTTTAGGACATTTCCTCTAGCCCAGGTATAGTGGGGTACATTCATCATGGTGTATCTCCAACAAAGAAGTTAACGGAGTTACTATTGGGATTAATCAGCCCAGTATGTCAGTATGTCCTGCTGCAGCAAACCCCATCATATCAGTGCTGAGACACCATGCTGATAGGTGCCTTAAAAAAAGACACTACCACATTTCAAAAATTATCACAGTGCTTTATTCCCAGGGGCTTATTACAATGAAAAGAAGCCTCTGTTATGGTCATCTTTGCATTAGCCAGTGTGGCCTGGATGGGAATCCACTACTTCTCTTAATAGACTGGAAGGACTGCTGTTAAGCAATGAAAGCTGTATTTCTTTCTTGAACACCACTCTTAATCTATCCTGGGGGAGGAGCATAATACCTGCTATCAAAGTTGTGTTTCTCCCATAGCAGTGCACAGCAGTCATTCCTACAGACAGACAGCTCTAGCATGATCCCAGAGTGTACACAAGTAACAAACAGACACAGTACATTGTGATGAGCTGCGTGATCTTGAGAATATACTGCAGAAATAACTAGTTGTGTAGGTAGAACACACATAAACAATATTCTTTCCACATTGAATGTGTGTTCGCATGAACACACCAGTATTTACATGTATAGTATGCTGTATTTTCACTAACAGACAACAATAAAGTGTTTTGATTTTTTAAGTTATCTTCTGGATGTTGTGATCTTTAGCTGCTCTTTTGTTCTATTTGTGTGTGTGGACATGTATGTGTATAACAGCATATTTAGCCACCTTATATGTATAGTAGGAAGAAATTAGGAGTCAGGTCTCCTGGGTTCTTTTCCTGGCTCTGCCACTAATTCACTGTGTGACCTTGGGCAAGCCACTTCATCTCTCTACTTTAGTCACCCCATCTGAAAATGGATCTAATAACATAGGGGGGTTGTGAGGTTTAATTTGTGTTTGTAAAGTGTTAGGAGGTCCTCAGATGAAATGTGCTAGAGAAGTGTTACTATTATTATTATCCACAGATAGCTTGTCCAAGTGAATTACTACCTACTAGTACCCATACAACAGAAAAGTTCACCTTGACACTATCTCAACTAGGAAATGAATTAATTGTTTCTGACAGTCCCCTTGTTATTGGATTGTGAGGAAGCACTTTGCACTGTATGCCTGACCTTAGAAGTATTCCCAGCATATTCTTATTCCACAGTCTAGCTATCCAACTTCCTCTTCTCATCACTGATTCTATTTTTTATTCCTAAAGGGGACAGGCTTGCAAGACTTCAGCCAGTAGCTTTTTTTGTGTCAGCACAAATTATGAAATTATGTTGTGGAATTCTCATCCTCTGCCTGTGCCATTTTATTGGCACTGTCGGTTTGGTCAACTCCTACTATTCACTGCCTGCAGACATGCTACCTCAGACTGTCATCTCATCAGGTATCACATATTACAGGGGCCAGCTCAGTACTTGGAAGGGGGAAACTTCCAAGGAAAACCCAGATATTACACAAAGTAATGCTAGTGATTCAGTAAAAATCACTATTCTCTCCAAATCAGTAACCAGTGCCCCAGCCTGGTGTTAGAGACAGCTATGCTGACGGAAGATCCTGACCATTTCAGTCATAAAAAAATTCCACATTTTTAGCAAGTGTTAATCCTGGTATCACAGCCAAATTGCAGTATGGGGAACTGTATTGTGACTCCCTAAAATTCCTCCTGCAATTTCAGTTATTCCTCACTTCCTGACCTAAGTTGATGTGTTGTGTTATGTGGGCTGTTAAATAGCTTTTCTGAACCATGCTACAGGTGCCTGCATTTCAGTGGTAGTTAAGTGACTTCTGCTTGTATATCTTCTTGCAATTAATGTCTTTTGGGATGAAAGGCACTATAGAAATGTAACATTATTGTGGTATTGTATGTTGGCTTATCTCTCTGCTCTCCTCCCAACTCTGTGAACTGCAACATCCAAAATCTAAGAGTGGTGAGTCCCTTGGGAGCAGCAGTTGTCAGAGCTTCTCACTTATCCAAACACCCAGACATCTCTTCTATATGGTACCTAAGGGTTCATCAAAATCCCAGAGGGAAAAGAACCCAAATTTTAACAACTCCAACCAGAACCTTTGCTCCTGGCTGAGACTTGGCAAATTAGGTCCAAGCCTAAGAGCAATGTAGTTACTTCCAACAAATTCTCAGGAAATCAGTTTGATGGTTCTAAAGTTTGATAAAAGTAAAGGAAAAAATTCTTCCCATTTTCAGCTTTTGGAAAGCTTTTTCTTAATGTTCAGAATAACAATAACAACAATTACAATAATAAAAACACATTTTGCAAGGTGATGGTCTCTAACAGGGGCTAACTGCTTCTACTATTTTGAAAACTAAATATTAAGGGCTTAGTCATGTTTGAAAGCCCAGCATTGTGCTGAGAGTGGTGTGAAGGTGGAGTGCACCATAAGGTTCTCCAGGGGGTAGGGGGTATCAGATGCTGCTCTCTGAGTCCAGTCAGGTGTGCTCTATTGGCTGGTACAGGGTTAGGGAAGCTGATTCATGGCCCCATTTCTTACACCCTCTTTGTTGGTTGTGAACATGCACAGGGACCAGGCACATTCTGGCCCTTAATACGGTTTAAGATACGGAACTTTGAAAAGTGGCTATTTCAAAAAATGGTGATTTCGCTGAAGTCTGAAAAAGTCCTAGAAGTGACAGTAGAGACCAAACTAAATGAAAGCTCGTAGTGCAATGTCACTGCCAGAGAAGAGAAGCAGCCATCTTCTGCACTTGGGCACCATAAGCTGGAAGTGAGGACAGCACGTAGCAAGAAAGAATTTGGCCTTGCTTAGGCCGACAAAAACATCTGCACAGATGCAGAGTTACTAACAGGGGTAGATAAAATGACAGATTCACAAGAATAAAAAGGGAACAAGAATAACTGGTTTTGAGTCTGGGTGTCTGTAATTATAAGTTTCTTGCTGGAGTTGCTTTACTGATAAGTAGAAATTATGAGCCTTTTTTGCTGTTGGTAGGGAAACAGTCAGCCCATTAGGGGTTTCTTTGAGTTTTGCTTTGTTCTGAGTTACCTATAAAAGAGTTTAGTTAGTGTGGAGAAGCTTGGGAGAAGTTCTTTTAAGAGGATTTCTATGAGCTTGGAGCCTGACTGCTACCTCCCCAGTGGCTAGGAGGAAGGCCGGCCACCAGAACCCTGCTGCTAAACACTCAACACCATCTCAGACTTTGGATAATTATATTTTGGGGTGCTCTAAACTATTGTGATTTTAGAGGTACTCAATAAAAACAAGGATTTTTAGGTGGAAGCACTCTTGTGTGTGCCAATCAGATGGAGGTGCTGTATCCCCCATTGATTTATTTCCTGACACCACCTGGAAAACAGAGACTAGTTGCCATAGCTTTGAGTTCAGGTAATCCTGGGTAACACCTCACCCTCCCAGGAAAACCGAGTCCCGACTTCAAACCACAGGTCCAATTTCAAACCTCCCAACCTTCAATCCCAGCCCAAACACCAGATCCAATCTATGACAGGCTGTCTGAGTTGAGCCTACCACCATTTCAGATAGTCCCATGCCTGTCAGGTTAGCCATGAAATCTTGAGCTGATTCAGAAAATCATCTACATGGACGGTGAAATTGGCAAGCACAATCAGCTTGACAAATCCTCTAGTCCTGCAGCAAGAAATTCATTAGCTTAAGTAGGGACTTTGCTGCACAGTGGGGCAATCTGCACACTAGAATCATCTTAACTCAATCATGGGACTCACATACAAGATGGAAATGCTGTATCAGACCAAGTGTTTGAGTAGGAGACCCCCTGCATTTTAGGCTGGTTGCAAACACCACAGCCACAAAATCTCTCATTTGCTCACATTGTATTGAATGTGACATTCTGTATTCCTATTTCCACCCCTTTTTCAAACTATGATAAATTTTGTACAAATTATGCCTTGTAAGGTATCTCCTGAAAACTCATGATTTGCTGATCATTATTGTCCTGGTAAAATATGTGTGGCAACATTTTAAAAGTTATAAGATTCTACTGTATGATGTTACTAAGACATATTCTAAATCTGGGAAAGCAGCCACAAACCAGTTCCTCAGAGATAAAAGACAAATTGATGCCTCATCAGGTGTCAACAGAATCAAATGGACTATCACTTGTTTAAGTGGCCATTCTTTGGCAGGAAAAAGGGTCTGAGTGAGAAATGGCAAAAAAAAATCTGGAGGTTCCCATCCCCATATACTTTCTGTCTCCTGAACCCCAGCAGGAGATGATTCTCAAAGAAGAGGGAAAGTGTGAGAATGTGGGACAGACACCCTAAGATATCTCTCCCTTCATCTCTACTCATGGCATCGACAGCACTTAAAGGACAAAGGAAGCATCATTGGACTGTGTAGGGATCCTGGCAGAAATAAATTCAGCCAGTAAGACTGCTAGAACGTGTGGTGAGAGAGACTTTTGCTTTGAATTCACTTAGCTTGTTAAGTTAGGTATTAGATGTGTTTCACCTTTTATTTCTTTGTAACCAATTCTGACTTTTATGCCTCATTACTTGTAATCACTTAAAATCAATCTTTCTGTAGTTAAT